AAGCCTGTTATGTTTCCTGCTCCTGAGAGTAATGGATTTATTCAAAAGAGGTCAAACACTATCTAGGGTCTATTTCCTCAGGGAGTGTCTCCATTGTATGCTATGTGTACTCTGCTGCTGTATTTTGCTTTTTCTCTCTGTAACTGCTTTCTCTCTCAGGTCAGTTGTCAGCAAAAAATCTCCTTGCCTGCAGGTGGGCAAGTATTTGGGCCTTGTTCAAAGTGTGACAAGTTTTATCTAGATGTTTCTGGTCTGATTGTTCAATGAGATGCTATTTGCACTAGAACTGAAGATCTCCAGAACTCTATGATCAGTAGATATGGCGAGTACAGAAGTTTCTGCTGGTCTTCTTGAGGAAGAACCCACTGCTCTGTTTCTCAGGCACATCTGCCCAAGAATAGCAGCACCTACAGAACACAGAGGGGCGGGGCTTCATGCCACCAGTTTATGCTGTTGCTGTTGGTACTGTGCTGCTTACTCAAGTTAGTCGATGCTGGGGGGACAAAAGGAAATGGCACCAGCCCCTTCTGTCATCCCTAGACTGGGTACTCTGTGCTTGTAGCTCTCAGGGAATCACTCCCAGAAAAGGAAACAATCTCCCCTTGTGTATCCCAAGCATCACTCAGATCTCTGCCTTCACCCTGCCTTTCCCAGACTATCTGTCCACTCAGCAGTGCAATGCCCCTGTGGCCTATCCCAGGCAGGAAGTCTGAGTTTTAAAACTCCAAACTTTAAGGACCTGGCATGATGTGGACCCACATTGGCCCTGGGAGGGTCTTGCCATCTTGGGACTGGGGCAGGTTTCTCCCAGAAGGGCAGTTGCACCAAATCACAGGGGTGTGTATTTGGACTAAAGTGCAGCAAAGAGCATCTAGGTTAGCTGCCCTTTGCGAGAGTCTCTGTGCATGTGCTAAGAGGTGGGGAAGGGCAATGGTGCCTCCCAGCACTACTGTCCCCACAGAGACAATTCCACCTCTCCCAGATGCGCTCCTTGAAGGGGGAACAGTCTCTCCCAGTGCATCCCAGCATCTCAGCTTCCGCTCTCTGACCCTGGGCTTCTGTCCTTCTCCACAGGAGTGCTGCCAACCCTCTGTGTTTCATGCCTGCCACAACATGTACTTCTAACACTCCAGTCTTTGAGCTCATGAAAATCAGGGGCGCCTGGGTGGCTCAATCAATTAAGCAGGCAACTTTGACTCAGGTCATAATCTCACGGTCTGGGAGTTTGAGCCCTGCATTGGACTCTGTACTGACAGCTCAGAGCCTGGATTCTACTTCAGATTCTATATCTGCCCCTCTTCTGTTCACACTCTGTCTCTGTCCCTCTGTATCTCTCTGTATCTTTCTCTCTCTTCTCTCTCTCTCTCTCTCCCTCCCTCTCTCCCTCCCTCTCAAAAATAAGTAGACATTTAAAAAAATCATGAAAATCAGCCCCTTTCCTTTTCCCAGTCAATGGCTTTGGGAAATGTTTTCCTTCTGTGACCCCCTGCATCTCTCTCTCTCTCTCTCTCTCTCTCTCTCTCTCTCTCTCACACACACACACACACACACACTAATTCTCTTTTCTGTCTGAGCCCAGGGCTCCCTCCCCTCCACTGCACCTGTGATCTATATCTCCCCCAAACACGACTCCACACTTCCTACCTTCCAAGATATAGCCTCTTCTCTCCCTCTAGTTGTGCAGCTTGTTCCCTCAGTCCTCAGATTCATTGCTTGAGTATTGAGAATAATTTGATATTTATCTAGTTGTGTTCAAGGGATGAGGCACGCCTGGGGTCCTCTTACTATCCTGCCATCTTAGCTCCTCTGCTCTAACCATCCTCTTTCTTTATCTTTTCTTTATCTTCCATAGTGAGAACACTTTTAATGTACTCTCTAGGCAAATTTTATGTATAAAATTTCTCTGTCTTTTGCATACAGGTTTCATCCTCAGCTTTGCTTCTCTGCTGTTTAAAATGGATTTTAATGGTTTCAAGCTTTATACCCAGATGGTATTGTCTGGGACAAGAAAGAGGATCTCTTTCCCCTGCCATCAACTGAAAGAATCAGGCTTCTAGTGACCTGGTCACCTAGAGCCAGTGCCTGGCTCTGAGCCACCACTCTGAATGAGGACAAGTGACACCTGATGATTGATCTGAACTCAATCTCACCTGTCCGTCTTTCAGCCTGTCACGTCGGCAATGGGTGCTTTCTTCTGATTGACTCAAGCAGATCAGACTCCAAGGCTATGCATGAGAGTAGAGTCAACCAACAAAAAAACTACATGGTGGTCATTCAAGGGTAACAATGTGGACAAGAACAAAAGGAAGAAGCAACTAGTCTAATTCAAGTGAGAAGACAGAAGTCCTGTGATTGGCTCTCCTCCATCCTACTTTCTTCACCTCTGCCTCCTCTTCCATCTCAACTTTATTTTCCAGAAAGTCCACATGAGCATCAGTGAGAGCCTGCACGTGGTCCCTCTGGATATTCTCCTGCTTAGAGCCCTTTCTTTAAGCCCCCAAATTAATTAAAACTGGACCTTTTCCCAAGTTGAATCGAAATAAGTTGCTATGCTAAAAAACTAGATAGACACAACAATGAAAACCATAATCAAATAGGAAAGCAAAATTTTCCAGCTCTAAAGATATCGATGGTCTTTTCTTCCCCCACTAGTTTACACGCAAAGTTTCCCTTCTGCATGGTCAGGGCTTGAGAATGATTTGTTGAGGTAGTTAAAAAACCAGAGTAACGGAAGTCTACCCATGGCTATCTCCGCTAGCACTGCCATTGAAATAATCGGTCACAAAGGTTCCATCTCTTTATTCAGGGAGGCTGTCTGTGCTAAAGGATCTACCTAGTGACATCGATTTGAAACCCCCAAGAATATAGGCTCACTGCTATTCATAGAGGCAGGGAGAGTAACCTGAGATGTGTCACCCATTGCATGTGTCCTGGTGAGGCGTACCCAGTTTCTGCTCTATCTTTCTGGGTTAAATTCCCAAACTATAAGTATGTATCCTTTTCATAGTCAATTGGATGCTACATTTTCTGCATTTCCATGCACTTTCTTGGTGATCTCAGTGTTTAAAAAGGCCCTGAAGCCCAGAGCTGCAGGGCTGACTGATGTTCAAGAAGTGATGTGCCTCACTGACAAACCTCCTGTGCAGTTAAGTCTTGCTCAAGCTCAAGATGCAGAGTTGTGGGCCTCTGAGTTCAGTGCTCATGAATCAACAATGCAGTAAATCCAGGAAAAGTAAAAAATAAGTTCTTAATTTCTATATGGAGTCACCTCAGAAAGTGCTAGAGTAACATCTGGGATGCTATGATGATGCCATGGAAAAGGGGGAGGGGAGTTAATTATGAGGATTCATGAGATGATGATGATTTCTAGTTTGTTTGTTTCTAAAAGCATCGTGGGCAGCACAGTTGTGAGGTTGAAAACCAAAGATGCTGGTGATCACAGTAACCAGCCTGGAAATGTCACACACTTCTGAGCTTATATTTCAGTATAGGGAAATAGAGCATACAATAAATTTTTTGGATTCAATATATATATTTAATTAAATATATATTGTATGTATATATATTGGTTTAAATATGTATAGATAGATATAGATATATTTAATAAGCTGTCTTTAAACACAAACACACATGAGACAAGACTGTGTACCCATCAGTGGACAAGTGTTTTGAGCAGAAGCTCCAAAGATCTGAACCCCGTATTTCCCCCCAGGAGCAACAGCTCACAGTGGCTGAACTGTGTCCTCAGTGACTGAAACACAGCAGCCACGAAAGTGAGGATGCCCTGTACGCCCCCTTCTTGCTGGGCCCCCCTTCAGTCCTGAGCACAACACTCTCCTTCTCTTTTCGGGACCCACTCATTTCCCTCCAGGGACACACTTGTGCTGCTACCTCTCAGGCACCAAATTTTATGCACCTGTGAACCCCCTGCTGCTTTCGCTAAAATGCAAATTGTGATTCCGTGAACCTCAGTTGAGGCCAAGACCCTATATTTGCAACAAGCCCCAGGGTGACATGTCTGCTGCTGTCCTGAGAGCCCCAAACAGCCAGGGCCTGCGTCCTGACTTCCTCCTTGTGCTCACAGTACATGGAACCACAGGTCCGCTCCCGTAGGGTCTGTATTTAAATGATAGGACTGTTCACAGGCAAAACTATGTTCTCCCCAAGGGTTCAGAGATGTTACCAAGTGACCATGCCAGGGTCCAGTCTCCAGGCAAAGTGAGAGAAGACTTGTAATGAGAAGAGCATCAAACATCTCAACTACCACAAACATGACAGGAGTCAAGAGAAAAATAAAATAACTATAAAATTGGGATAAATTCAACATAGATTTTTATGGAGGACATATTCCATGCAGGTGAGACTCCTTGCCAAGGATACAAATATTTAAAAATATGGACTTTGCACTCGAGACCTAGGAATTAGAAGGGAAAGGGGACATAAATGTGGGGCAAAAAAAGAATGGAAGTGAGGTGTAGATTATCCATGGTGCAGATTACAGTGGTGGAAATTCACACCAGGCAGAGATTCCCTCCTCTTATAGATCAGAGAGGGCTTACTGGAGGAAGTGACACAAGATGCATGTGACCCATGGAGGTGCTCAGACATCATTTTTCTATAAGATAAATTAGAGATTTAAGTCCCAGAATCAGGTCAGAACAACAAATACTGCTAAATTACACTGTAACCCATACTGGCAACTGATCATTGAGTAGAAAGAAAAGACAAAAGTTGCACACAGAGACTTGAAAATCCATCACCGTTGAGCTGAGATTAGGTATGTCCTGGTGTCTGGGCTGCTGAGAATTTGCTCCAAAGGGAGGCCAGTGAACTGATGTCTCCAGTGTGTTTTCCTGGGAAGATCAAATTGGAAAGTGCTCTGCAACAGGTGGAGGTGAGGACTGTGGGGATGGGGAGGGGAGCGGTGGGAACAGGAGGGCTGAGAACAGGCAGGAAGGTGGGGAGACACTTGGGAAAGAGCAGGGAGGGTGGTTCCAGACTTACCAGCGCTTCCAGAACCAGAACGCAAGACCGGCCAGAAGCGCGAGGGGCACCATTATCTCCATGAAAACCCAGCCCACGGGGCGGTGCTGCTCTGTGGGTTTGGTGCACAGAGGGTGTCACTTCCCACCCACCCCAGGTTGGCCTGCACCTTCCTGGTCCTCTCTGTTCCTGTCGCCCTCTGCCTCACCAACTGCCCTCCCTCTTTCTCTCCTATTCCTACTCAGAGAGGGACACTTCACCAAGCCCTCTGCCGTCTGCCACATCTGTAGGATCCTCACCTTCAGCTCTCCATTTCTTGGGTTATTAATTTGATGTGCTTTATGATCTGGAGTCCCTAAAATCCAAAAATTTTCATCTCACTCTGCTCTGCTGCAGGATCACCCACCTGCTTTCCCAACCAGGCACCACCCCTTTCTCACCCCAGTACAGGACCATGTCCTGGCCTCCTAGACTGCTGTGTCTCACTCGGCAAGACAGGCCGGCCGCCTCCCTGGCTGCCACTTCCAAGGAGACCTGAAGATACCAGGTCCCGTCGGCCTGGGGCAGGATGTCATCTTGCTGGGTGCGCTGCTGCTCCTGCTCACCCCGCATCCACATCACCCACACTGGCTTTGGGTGGAAGCCGGAGACGTGGCACACCAGCAGCAGACGGCCAGGGCCGGGACTGGGGCCGCTGGACAGCCAGGCCTCTGGCCTCACTGCAGAGACAGGACAGGTATTCTCAGACTGAGCACTCAGACTGCAGCAGGCCTTCACATCACGTTAGAAACACACATCTTCCCACCTCTAAAAACCTGTCACCATCATCCCCTCTCCCTCTTGGCCCCTACTCCACTGAATTTGACAATATGGTGCAAATTTATGACGGCAAAGAGAGAGAATTCTTGCAGGGATGAGCAGGACTGACCTTGTCGCTGCAGGTCTGCCTTCCCTGCATCAAGAAGACCCAAGAGGAAACGGGGGCAGATGTCATTAATATTTGTTTGTATCCTTAAGTTGACCACATGGTACTGATTGAACAGTTTGCAGACCTGCTGAGCCCTCCTTCCTCCCTTTGGAGATGGCCACCATGATGTGTTCTGGAAGCTCATGAGATCTGATCCTTGATATGCAATCTTCATGAAGCCTACTGATGATTCTCCAAAATGGGAATCACAGCCTCCTACCAGTTGTATCTGAAAAGGATCTGGGAAGAGAGACTGTGAGTTACAGGAAATGGAGACGGAAAGAGGTGAAACGGGATGAGTGGAAGCCAAGAGAGAGGAAGCAAAGGGAGAAGTTGAGGGTATTGGAAGGAATGGAGCAACGTTTGGTTTCAGTGGAAGCTCAGACCGAGGGGAAGTGGTGGTCGCTGGAGGCAGAAGAAAGGTGAATGACTGAGAAAGCAACACATGTTGGAAGAGAAACAGGAAGGATGTCGGCAGAGAACAAGGAGGGGCTCGGCGGGAGAGCTGTGATAAAACCATCAAGGGTGAGGGGAGAGCAGTGGGTAGAGGGAACACATAGACAAATGTCGCTGATAGGACTGAATGGAAAGAAAAACACATTTCAAGGATCAGCCACAGAGTGAGGGAGAAGAAAGACTCTGGCTGGAGGCCAGGGAATGGGGTGGTTGGAAGACTCTTGTGGGAGACAGGAGAACACAGCCAGAGGTCTATTAGAGGAGGGGGAAATAGCAGAAGATGGGAAGCTTTGCAAGATTGGAGTCTGGCTTTTACCCTCTGAACAGAAGGGTGTGATTCAGTTCATGATGGGAAGGTATGAGGTTCAGAAACTAGTGGAGGCTCTTTCCTGGAGGAGACACACACACACACACACACACCTGCCACCTCCATCCCACCTGCTCTGAGGGACCTGAACTCACATTCAAGCTGCCATTGACTGACACGGTCCTGAAATATCAAGGGAAATCTAGTGGAGAATGTATGAAATGACTTTTCTTGTTCCACCAGCTCCTCATTGCTGAAGTTGCCCCTGGACCAAGGCCACAGATAAATGAAAGCACCAGTCTTGCTGTTCCAGCCATGAGTCTGCAGCTCGTCCAGCCAAGCTGAGCCCTGATTCTGTGTCCAGGAACGGTTGTAAAAGGATGTTGTCAGGACAACTCGAAATGAGATCGGCTCTTGGAAGTCTGTGCCAAAAGAACAGATAGACTGAAGAGGAGGGTATTGGAAGGAGAGAGAAGGCAGAAGAAAGGTGCCAGGGAGGGGCACAGAAATCTGGAGGGCAGGGAGCCATAGTTCTCTCAGGAGACATGTGCTGCCCCAGAGCCCTGAGCTTCCTACCCATTGTTCAGAAGAACACAGTCCCTGGGGCAGGGATGCTCAGGAACAAACCAGGCTGACATCCCTCCCTCCCCAGGTATGTGCTTGGGAATTCACACCACAAGGGCAGACACACAGAGAGACAAATGCATATATGTACAAACACAAACACTCAGAGCTGCATATGAATGCACAAACATAGGCATGTATATAAAGAGATGTACAGACACACATAGACACACACAGAGACATGCAAACAGGCACCTATTCGCACATGCTCATATATATTTACACACCCATGTACACAAGCACATGTACAATGCCACAAACACATATACACATACAGACACGTGCACACAAACAAGCGCACACAGGTATACATATGTAAGCATTCACACTTGTGCACCCAATGGGCAGGGCCACAGTCCTCACCATCGTCACTGGCACCACCTGGGACAAGAACCATGAGCAACACCAGTTGCAACAACAGCATCTTATTTGCAGATGTTCTTTCTTTCTTTTAGAAAGTGGGTCTTTGGCATCTGTTCTAACAAACCTCCCCACACACGGCTCCTCTCTTCTGACTTCCTTCTCAACACACAAGCCTTCCGTAAGTCTCTGCAGCAATGCAAATGGGCTCCGCCCTCAACCTTGGACACCAACTCAGACTCTCACTTCCCCTCTGGGTCTGACTCTCCTCTCCGGCTCCCGGCTTCTTCCTGTCACCTGCCTCCATCCTGCTCCCCGAGGCCCTAACTCAGGTGCTGGGGAACAAGGCTTGTGTGGCATGGAAAAGTGACCCTACCTCCCGTGCCTTTTCTTCTCATCCAGACAGTAACCCATGAAAACACATGAATCCCCAGCCCCCAGCCCTGGACTCTGCTGTCACTCTGTCCCTCTTGCCCTTGGGACACTCCCCGTGGACTATCTCATCCCCACCCAACCCATTCACATCTCTACCTATCACTGCTTGTGCTAAAAAACAAAATCAACCAGATACAGTTGAAGGTCACCTTCCCCTAAATGGGAGGGTACAGGTCTAATCATGAAAATGACCTCATCTCCTTGGGGGATGGAGAGGGTCCATGTGAGAGAGGACCTCACTTGTGATGAACAGAGAATTTCTCACTGATGGGGAAAGACTTACATTTCTGGTGGAGGTTGGAACAGCACTTGCATTAGGTTAAACAAGGTTTGGGAAACTGGTCTGGCCCAAGGCACCATTTTGAGCCCATGGGTTTCTTTTAACCCTTCTCCTATTTGCTTTTCCAGATTTCCCCATGATTGCCTGTGTAACAGCGTCAACCACCACCAGGTCACCATTACTTTTAGGGGAGAATCAGTTGCCATCACAGGACACTGAAACATCTGAAGAATCCTCCGTCATTCCGACTTGCATTAATGCACATTCACTCACCAAACAGTCACTTAACACCTATCTGGATCCAAACACCATGCTGCACTCATGAAACTACAGTGTTCATGGGGCGCCTGGGTGGCTCCATCAGTTGAGCATCTGAGTTTGTCTCAGGACATGATCTCATAGTCGTGGGCTCAAGCCTGATGTCAGGCTCTGTGCTGAGAACTCAGAGCTTGGAGCCTGCTTCAGATTCTGAGTCTCCCTCTCTCTCTCCCCCTCCCCTGCTCATGCTCTCTCTCTCTCTCTCTCAGAGATCTCTTTCTCTTTCTCAAAAATAAATAGACAATAAATTTTTTTTTAATTAGAAAAGAAAATACAGTATTCACCATGCAATCACTTTATTCAAGGATCTTTTAGTCTCCTTGGGAAGAGAAACACATAAACAACGAACTATTCATTTTGGTGTCCTGAGTTAGTGTTCCTTTGTTCGATTTTTTAAAAATTTCCACTATAGTTAGCATGAAGTGTTATATTAATTTCAAGTATATATCATCCAGAGTCATCAATATATGGATAATCCTAATCCCCTCCACCTACTCCACCCATCCCCTTCCCACCTCCAGTCTGGTAACCAGCAGTGTGTCCTCTACAGCTAACAGTCTGGGGGTTTTGATTGTGTCTCTTATTTGTTTGTTCATTTGCATTGTTTCCTAATTTCCACCTATGAGTGAAATCAAATGGTATTTGTCTTTCTCTCACTGACGTATTTCAGTTACCATCGTATTCTCTCATTCCATCCATGTGGTTGCATGGCAAGATTTCAGTCCTTTTTATATCTAGTGACATCCCATTGTATGTACATACCGCATCTTCTTTGTCCATTCGTCTATCCATGGACACTTGGGCTGCTTCCATGTCTTGGCTGATGTAAATAATGCTGCAATAATCATGCGGCTGCATGTATCTTTTCAAATTGCTATTTTCATACTACTTGGGTAAATATCCAACAGTAGAATTAATAGGTCATATGGTAATTCTGTTTTTAATTTTTTCAGATACTATTTTCCACAGTGGCTGCACCATTGGCTTTCCCACCAACAGTGTTCAGGAGCTCCTTTTTCGCCACATCTTCCCCAACACTTGTTTCTTGTGTGTTTGAATTAACCACTCTGACTGGTGTGAGGTGACATATCATTGTGGTTTTGATTTACATTTCCCTAATGGTGAGTGATATTGAGCATCTTTTCGGATATCTGTTGGCCATCTGGATGCCTTCTTCAGAGAAATTTCTATTCATGTCTTCTAATTATTTGTCCTTTTGCTGTTTGAGTTGTACAAGTTCTTTATGTAATTTGGATACTAATACTTTATCAGATATGTTATTTGTTAATATCTACTCCCATTCCATAGGCTTCCTTTGAGTTTTGTTGGTTGTTTCCTTTACTGTGCAGAAACTTTTTATCATGATGTAGTCTCAATAGCTTATTTTTCCTTTTGCTTCCCTTGCTTTCAGAGACATATCTAGAAATAAATTTCTGTGTCCTATGTCAGAGACATTACTGCTTGGGCTTTCCTAGAATGTATATGATTTCAGGTCTTACATTTAAGGACAATTCACATTGAGTTCATTTTTCTGTATGGTGTATGAAAGTGGTCTAGTTTCTATCTTTTACATGTAGCTGTCCAGTTTTCCCAACACCATTTCTTGAAGAGACTTTCTTTGCATATTCTCACCTCCTTTGTCAAAGATTAATTGGCCATAAGATCATTGGTTTATTCTGGGCTCTCTACTCTCTTCCACTGATCTATATGTCTACTTTTGTGCCAATACCATACTGTTTTGATTACTACAGGTTTGTAGGATAATTTGAAATCTGGAATTGTGATACTTCTAGCTTTGTTTTTTTCTTTTTCTTCTTTCTTTCATGATAGCTTTGGCCATAGTCTTTGGTGGTTGCATACAAATTTTAGGATTTCTTGTTTTAGTTTTGTGAAAAATGTTATTGGTATTTTGAAAGGCATTGCATTAAATCTGTAGATTGATTTGGGTAATATAGCCATGTTCCCAATATTTGTTTTTCCATTCCATGAGCATGGAATAGCTTTCCATTTCTTTGTGTCACCTTCAGTTGTTTTCATCAATGTGTTATAGTTTTTAGAGTACAGGTCTTTCACCTCTTTGGTTAAGTGTATTTCTAGATGTGTTATTTTTTTGGTACATCTATAAATGGGATGATTTTCTTAATTTCTCTTTCTGCTGCTTCATTATCTGTGTATAGAAATGCAAGGGATTTCCCTATGTTGATTTTGTACCCTGTGACCTTACTGAATTCATGTATTGGTTCTAGTAGTTTGGGGGGAGGAGTCTTTAGGGTTTCTATATATAGGGTTGTGTCATTGCAAATGTGAATGTTTTTCTTCTTCCTGACTAATTTGAATACCTTTTAGTCTTTCTTTTGTATGATTAGTATGGCTGACACTTCCACTATTATGTTGAATAAAAGTGGTGAGAGTGGAGAGTGGACATCCTTATCTTCTTCCTGACTTTAGGGGAAATGCTGTCAACTTTTCACCTTTAAATATGATGTTAGCTGCGGGTTTGTTATATACGATCATTATTATATTGAGTTCCGTTACATCTACATCTCTTTTGTTGAGATATTTTATCATCAATTGATGTTGTACTGTATCAGATGCTTCTTCTGCATCTATTGAAATGATCATACAGCTTTTATCCTTTCTCTTGTTGATGTCATATATCATGTTGATTCCTTAGTGAATACTGAATGACACTTGTACAGCAGGAATGAATTCGACATGATGGTGAGGAATGAATTTTTAATATAGTGTTGGATTTGGTTTGCTAATATTTTGTTATTATTGGATTTTGGATCTTTGTTCATCAGAAGTATTGGCCTTCTCTCTTTCTGTAGTGTCTGTCTGCTTTTGGTATCAGAGTAATGCTGGCCTCATGGAATGAATTTGGAAGTTCTACTTCCTCTCCTATTTTGTGGGACAGTTGAGAAGAATAGATATTATTTCTTCTTTAAATTTTTGGTAGAATTTTCCTGTGAAGCTGTTAGTCCTGGACTTGTGTTTGTTCAGAATTTTCTCACTACTGATTCAATTTCATTGCTGGTAATTTGTCTGCTCAAAGTTTCGATTTCATCACGCTCATTTTGGGAGGTCATGTGTCTCTAGGAATCTGCCCATTTCTTATAGGTTGTCCAATTTGGTGGCATATAATTTTTTCATAATATTCTCCTAAAATATTTTGTATTTCAGTTGTGTCAATTATTGTTTCTCGTCTTCATTTCTTATTTTGTTTACTTCAGCTTGTTATTGCTTTCTGTCTTTTTTAAATGTATCTGGCTAAATGTTTTTCAATTTTCGATCTTTTCAAGAATCACCTCCTGGTTTCATAGCTCTGTTCTTCTGTGTTGTTGGGGTTTTTTTTTCTGTATCATTTATTTCTGTTATAATCTTTACTTTTCCTTTCTTTTACTGCTTTTTGGTTTTATTTGTTCTTCTTCTAGCTCCTTTAGTGGTATGGTTAGTTTGGTTATTTGAGATCTATCTTGTTTCTTTAGAGAGAGCTGTATTGCTATGAACTTCCCTCTTAAAACTGCCTTTGCTGTATTCCAAAAATTTAAGCCATTGTGTTTTCATTTTCCTTCATCTCCATGTATTTTTTTTAATTTCCCCTTTGATTTCTTGTTTGACTCATTCATTCTTTAGTAGCATGTTATTTAACTCCATGTATTTTATGCTCTTTCCAGATTTTTTTCTTGAGTCTCCTGTGTAGTTTCCTTTTGTTTTTGTCAGTAAAAGATGCTTGGTATGACTTTGATCTTTTTTAATTTATTGAGGCTTTTGTTGTGTAATATGTGATCTATTCTGGAGAATTTCGTGTGCACTTGAAGTGTGTATTCTGTTGTTTTAGGATGGAATGTTCTGATTATATCATTTAGATCTACCAGATCCAATGTGTCATTTAAAACCATTGTTTCTTTGCTGATTTTCTGCTTGTCTGTCCATCAATGTCAGTGGGGTGTTAAAGTTCCCTACTGATATTGTATTACTATGGATTACTTCCTTTATTTTTGTTATTAGCTGCTTTATGTATTTGGGTGCTCCCATGTAGAGTGAAGAAATATTTACAATTGTTATATTTCTTGTTGGGTTATTCCCTTTATTAGTATATAGTGTCTCTCTTTGT